TTAAATGAATTGGCAATTTTTCATTCCGGATATTGTCAATCGCAAAAAATTCATACATTCTCACTCAGTCAGCCGAAATGTTGGCTCGTGTAAAATGCCACTGACCGATAATATTGGCAAACATACATCCGACCAAATTTTTTTTTTTTAGCCAATCAAAACCGCACCGAACATTTTTTGGATGGGTTAAATTGATTCGCAAACTCATAGTATATGCAACTTAGCGAGAGAAAAAAAAACTTTGCAATGGAAATATTTCAATCGATTTTTAGGTGGATAATTTAATTACCTCTCATTGCGATTGCTCTGTCACACTCGAACGAATTGCATTGATATCACAGTCAAATTTTTGGAAACATGTACCGTAATCGGACAACATACAATCACAAAAGGGAAAGACAGATGGAGAGAGGTAGAGGTAGAGAATGTGAAAAGAGGACAACGAGAGAAAAAAAAAACAGCAACAACAACAACTGAACATCACATCGATTTGTCGATGAATGCAATAATAGTTTCGAAAAGCGTCACGTCACAACATTAAGCAAATTAATGATGTACATTAGCTGGCGACCATAGAGAAACAGATCGAATGAAACTTTTTATATATAGATGATGTGTGTGCATGTATAAATATAAAAATCTGCTAGCAACAAAAACAAAGTCACAACAAATCGATTTTAGGGGGCAATCGCTCTGTGTATCAATGGTGTGTAATTGTCTTCTTCGTTGTTGTTGTCGTTGTCGCCGTCGTTGTTGCCGCTGGTTTTTTTTCTATCTTCTGTTGTTCGAAAAACACAACGGAACGGATTGGCCACAGAGTAAGAGACTGCACACAACACGGTCAGCATACACAGCAGCACAAGCATACCATGAGCGTGCAAAGCGACTCTCTATTGACTATATTTTAGCACATACATGTATGAGATAGCGACAGAGCTCTTCGAAATGAGAGAAAATATATACAGTACTAATTTAATAAAAATCGAAACAACGGTCGCGCTACCGTCGGCGTCGAGGTAAAACAAACACAATTTTTTTTCGGTCAATTTTACTCTCTTTGTACAATTCGATTGGTCGGTTTGTCTGCTCGCCTCATTCATATACGTCTACGCCATTGTATTCGTTTTAGCAATTAACAATATTCAATTTTTTTTTTCGTTCTGATCGCATACATTACATTGGGATTTTTGTTTTATATGTATGAATCAATAATAATTCTTTTTTTCTCAATTGCATAAAGCGTATTTATTTTAATCGTAATATAATTTGGCATTGCTTTGATTTCACATTGCAATGCATTCGGTTCAATTCGAATCCACCTTTTTTTTCACTAATGTGCGATAAAAATCATCAATCGGCGCACATACACACGCATACCACCAACAATGCACAACATTCACTCACAACACGAATAAAAATAAAACACAACGATTTTCGCATTGAATGTGGAATTAAAATGAACGAATGACGAGAAAAAAAACAGAATCGAACGTCGAATCGAAATAAAAATGTAACATTCAGTTGCATATTATTTGCTATGGACAAAGCAAAATCGATTCAATCTATCTGAATTTTCTCCAATGAGATTTGACTTTTGAAATGCGAAGGTGACGGCCCGAAAAAAACATCACAAAAACGTTTATGTCGTCAATGTTTCTCTCTTTCTCTCCCGCTCTCTTTCAATACATTTCACATTTGCCTCTGTTGACTTTCATTGTAAAAAAAATTGGTTTGTTGCTTATTTGAGTCACATTATTTACTTTTTCCATTGTTTTATTAATTAATTGCTGGTGTGTGGCTGTAACTGTTGTTGCTTTTTTACTACAGTTCGTCTCGATAATAACATTGCGAAAAATTTCTCCTCATACACATGCCTTGTAAAATATCAATGAAATAAAAAAAAAAGCGTTTGACTACAAACTTACAAGCAAAAAAAAAATGATATCAGATTTTTGATGAATGGTAATCCGTTTTTTGAGCACACCATCAAAAGTTTCATTAAACATCAATTTATAATTCCATCACAAGCGTTTTCGCACTAAAACTTTTCAATTTTTTTTCGTATATTTCACCACATCCACATACAAAATGTGTTTCCACCAACAAAACAAAAAAAAAATAGTGAATTTAAATTCGGTTTCATCAATTAGTTTATCGTTGATCGAACGGGAAAGTCGACAAAATACGAAACACAAAACGGAATCGAAGAAACGATTGCGAAAAAAATTGAATAATTGAATTCACACACAGCACTCGATGATTTTTTTTTGTTAAATGGTGAAAGAGACATATACAAATTTGCAAACAACTCTTTATAACCCGCCCGATATACTGAACACTTCGTGCGCGCCTATACTTCTCATTTCACAACGTAGACAAAAATTCTCTCTTTTTTTCCACTGCTGCCACTTTTCTGGCCTTTTTCTTCGTACGATTTTCGCGTCTTTTGATTGAACTTTACTAATTTTTGTCTACACATATTTCATTACAATACACAATGATTTTCAAGTGAGCGACTTACTCTCATGCAGCAGCACCAGCGCGGTTAGCGCTTTTGATTTGATACTGTGTTTGATGGGAGCGACAAAGAGAACAACACACTGGGAGTTTCTTCTTTTTTTTCTCTTCTTTTTCTTCTCTTCAAACACACAGTGTTTGGTCGCGATTCTTAAATTTCGATTACACCATTCAATCTACATTAAATTATTTGAATTTTTGGTGTTTTTGTTACATTTTGTTTCAATTTTTAATTCATATTTGTTAAACTTGATTTGTAAAAAAAATGGACTTCTTCTACATTGAATGTTTCGATTTGAAATGATACGACAACGTCGTCGACGGCAAATCACTCATACTAATTTGAAAATTGGTGGTGCGCGCGCGAAAGAGACACATAAATATACACATTCAGCCGTACCATACATGCGAGTATGATATAAATGCCAAACAAATGAACGACAGAACGTGAAAAGGCCGAAAGAGAGACAGAGAAGAGAAGCGATGAGAATGATGGAGAGAAGAACATAAGAAAAAACGAATGTACGGAGCCCTCAAACACAAATGAAATGGCAAACCAACACATTGATGATGTCGTTGTGATACATGCATATCCGCTCGAAAAATGGGGTATGTCGAATGAACCATGTTTCTAGATGCCACAACTGCTTGTACATTTTATGAGTATGTGATTGTGTGTCGGTCGTCGGATACATACGATGATGACTGTGTTTTTTTTTCGGTGCTAGCGAACACTCACACGGAAAGAAAGAGATCTCAAATCGCATTCGAAAGGCGCACGCGATTTGAAAAGTAGTTGAAAGCAGCAGCAGCAGCAGTAACAACGGAGCAGCGTACAGGACAGACACTAGGTGTATATGCGATTGTATGTAATACGTATGCGCTGCTGTTGTTTTGACTATACATATTTGTGTATTTTGCCCATAATTCGTACTCTTCGATGCTACATGGAAAGCGGCCAAGATTATTGTAAAGTAGGTTCGATAATATAATATTTCTTTTTTTCTTCTTCTCTTCTTCTCCTGTGTGTATCTTCTTGTCTATTTGCTTGCCTGTACGCCTGCCATTTCGAAGAACGTACGTATTTTTAAGAAGTGTTGGAGCTTCACGCTTTCATTCTTTCGGTACTTTGGTGTGTATGATGCTGTTATTGTTGCTGCTGCTTTTTCCCACTTTTCAGTGGAATGCCTTACGTACGTTCTGCTCTTCTCATTCACTCAAAATTTTTTATTGTCAAACATTAAGATGGATATGGATTTGCATTACTCTGTGGGTATGAACGGATCTTTTTGTGTGTATCTCTTGGGCAGGCGGACGGGTGAGCGCGCGCGCCTGTGTCAATGTATGCAATTGATATATATATATGTATGTATCTATAATACCACAAGTAGAGTCGCGAGCATTGGAATATGTTGGCCCAAACGATTTATATATTTGACATGGCGTTTATGATCGAATGAAGCTTGCTATTGATATGTTCTATTGTGTGTTTGCTTTATGTCTCATTATTACAATGATGCTGCCGTTTATATTATATATTGTTCGGTGTGTTAAAGAAAAGCGGTACAATGAATCGAGATGAAACAATGTGATATACCAATGTATGTTTATTTTCTTCTCATTTCTTCCCCCCACTCTCTCTCTCTCTCTCTCTCCTTGCCCTCGTCGCCTTTCTCAAACTTTTGCTACTATTTTACGCTTGAATCGGCTGGAAAGAAGAAGAATATATATGCCACACATGAAATGTCTTCATTCCTCGATGTACATATGTGTCGTCACTTGTTCTTCTCTCGGCACAGATGTTATAGCAAAAGCAAAGAAGCAAATGACGACAACTACGGATCTCAGCGCGAACTATATATTGTATGTATTGGTGTGGGTCGCTTCAAAAAAATTATATTATAACGAAAAGAAATCGAAATGTATCGCGCAAAGTAATTCTTGAGGCAAGAGAGAGGAAAAAAAATACAACAACAACAATCAACCAGTGAGGCCCACTGAACTCGCCATCATACATTTACATTTAAATCACATACATCCATCCATCCATCCCAAATCATACACACCGTATACATACGTACGCGCAATCAGCAAATATAATTCTATTACACGCTCCTTCTTTCTCTTTCTCTCTTTTTCATTTTTCTTTCGTTCTCTGTCTATCTTTGTCGCGCGAACGTTCATATTCAACCGTTTTTAACAGAAAAAAAACCACGGGCGCTTCTACTTGCATTCATATACAATTTCACCATAAAAAAAACGACAAACGATGGACGACGACGACAATGGATTCGACAAATTAAAAGAAGCGAAACACGTACCAGTACAAAAGCAAAATTATCGACGAGAGACAGAGAGAGAGAGAGAGAGAGAGAGAGAGAGAGAGAGAGAGAGAAGGCGAAAGACAGAGAATGAGAGACGGCGGCGCTGTCAGTATATTTTCGCGTTTTCTACACGGATCTACATTAGAATTGTGTACTTACATTGAAATGAGCATACAAATGTGTATTGGAAAATGAATTTTTCTTTTTTGCAGTTTCTCCTTCTGCTGCTGCTACTACTAATGCTGCTACTGCTTCTTCTTCTTCTCGATAATTTTTTTTCGCTTGCTCGTAATGCTCTTTTTATGAATTCTGATGCAAAAATTTCCGCAAATTATTTCCAAATGGGATAAGTTTCGAAACACCACTCACAGAACAAAAAAAAAAACACTTTTCTCGGTCGCACACAATGCCGATTTTTATGAATGAGAGATATGAAATAATAAATAAGACTAGAGTTTTTTGAAAAAAGAAAATATTTTTCGTATTTTCTTCGTATATGCAACTTCAACTTTTTTTCTATCTCTTTTTAAAAACGTTAATTTATTTTATTTACACTACACTTCGTTTAATATCAAATGTGAAAACTATTTTTTTTTTCTCTTTTCGGGTCTTGTTGCTTACTAATTTCTATTGTCTATAGTGAAACTTGTATACATAAATCTTAATTCTTTTTTTACTTCGTGTTTGATTTTTTTTTCTTTACTATATTTAAACGTAATGTTTTGTGTGTTTTTTATGGACAAAACTTCATTTTTTTTATCAAAATGAAGCAAAAAAAATGAAACAAACGTAAATTAAAGTTAAAAACAATTTATGAAATGTTTTGTCTCTGGTTAAATATAATAAATAATTAAATTTTGTTGTGTATTTTTTAAGCCCGATTTGAAAATGTAGTACGCATCACAGAAGATACCTCCATTTTGAATTCAGATCGGCAACTATTGTGTGTCTGTGTGCACTATTAATGAATTAGTAGCTAGAATCCCGTTTTGGGACAAAAAAAATCGCTTCTTTCATTTCATTTCATTCTTTTTCTCCCTAACACATGTATCGCCGTCTCTTTCGTACACATGGCGCTGCATGCGCTACAAACACCAAACAGTGCGCGTTCCTCATATACACAGATGCAATTCACATTTGAGCTGTATACACCGTTCGTATATATATGTGTGTGTTCTTGCTGTGAGGCTGTGTGTGGTTGTTGGTGTTCAAAGCAAGCCCAAAGACGCGTGCCGTATAATTCATGCATTGAACTCTGAACGTATTGAGTAATTTAAATGTGTGCGAGCAGAACAGCAAATATAACACACCGGTGATTTAATGAATTCAGCATTTCTATGAATTTTCATTATGTTCTGGCATTGAACAAATGATACATTTTTCGGTTAATTTTTTCAAAATGAACTCTGCTGATGATTTTATTTGAAATTCTTTCTTGCAACCATTTTTAATGTTGATGAAGGTGAGAATGAGATAGTCACATTACATGTTCTCTAATGCATTTTATAGAATCAGTTTCAACATACGGAGACATATCATATGGCAATCCCAAAATCCATTCAATGATATACGCTATACACTGCCTATTGCTATTTAGCACACATACCACAATACCATTGATTGTAACAACTGTGATTGTGTGGCATCTGTCATTTGGTCTGTACTAAAGATATGAAAACATTTTGTGACAAATTGGTCTCACAGATTTTATGCCATTGAAACGATGAAATTATTTAAATTTTTAAAATGATTTTCAGATACTCTCGATTTTATATGAGGCTTTAATAATCTTTTTGACATTTGATATATTTAGATCATTGATTTTTGTATCTTTCTACCAAAAATCATCGAAAAATATTCTCTTTCATTCAGATTTTGACAGTTTATCGCATTGAAAACAAACCACTTTGTCATAATCGCCGCGAGGTTAGATTGTTTTAAGTCAAAACACACATTTAGCATTTCTACACATTTAAATTTAATAAACAGGTAAACATTGAGAATTTTCATCGATTAAAAGCCATGAATATTTAAAAATTCACACTTTCATCGAATTTCACATTTTAAATTGTCAATAATAATGAAAAACTATGAAATGCAATCAAAACTTACTCATGTATTCGATATTGTTAATATTTCAGGCTTTGAACAATGTCAACAAGTGTTCTGCTTGCATGTGAATTGAATGAGCAGAAACTTCCGCCATTCGTATTGATTCAGGAGAGCAGTGGAGCAGATGCATCGTTTCTGGTAGCCTGTTTGATGGGTAGTTGCTTAAAATATCAACAAAATGGTGTTGTTTTAGTTTGTTTGCATCATGTCAGTCAGCATTATAGCAGTGCTGCCGCTAGATTGGGCTTCAATATCAGTATGGCACGTGAAAAAGGCCGAATCATCATCACTGAACCATTAGCCGATATAGGTGAACAATTCTTTGCTTCAAAGTACTTGTCAAAGCCGAAGATTGAAGTGATTGATTCATTGTTCGAAAATATCAAAGAAAATGCAGAGCACCAATTACAAAGCAAACAATGTGTAACGATTCTAATCGACAATGTTGCTGCTCTCATTGATTTGGGATGTCCACAAAATGCTGTGCTACAATTTTGCCATAAGCTCATCAATTTATCGAATGATCGCATTTCAATTGTGTTGAAAATCAATACCAGTAATTTGTATACGAATTTTGTTGCCAGCTTAGATGACTATGCAACTTCCAATTACCTCGTTAGAAAGATGATATCCGGTGATTTTCAAGAAGTTGATGGGAAAATCATTTACCAGAAACGACTCGATTTCGGTCACACTACAAAAACAATCCTGTACAAAGTTGGCGATAAAAATGTAAAAATATTTCAACCCGGCGAAGTTGGAGTTCGGACATAAAAATTTTATTGAATAAACATTAATATTATTAGGAGATTGTTCCTAGAAATAAAAGTTTTTTTATACACAGTTGCTTAAATTCAAAAGTGTTTTTTTCTTCTTATTTGACTATAATTATAACAAAACTTAACTTTCAGATAAATCCAAACAATTTCGTGGCTCACTTGAGATGAGTACGTTCGTGTTTTTTTATTGTGCTTTGAGTGAAACCCTCTCCGCATATGGAACACAAGAAATTTTTCACGTTCAAATGCTTTAGGAAATGATTTTGTAATGTTATTCCATTTTTGAATTTCTTTGAACATCCATCGAATATGCAACGAAATTGTTTGGATTCGGTTTTGTTCGCGTTTAATATCATAGATGACATACATTCCTCACAAATGCGCTTTTGTTGGTATTTAAATCTGCTGTTACTATTCGACTGACCTTGTCGACATGGCTCTTTGCATGGATGATCTTTTATGCAAAATGTGAACGATTCATTGGTTTGTAGCTTGCATAAACAGCAAGAGCATGGTAGAAATTCACTTATCGAAAAATCACGTGCATATTTTTCGGCGGTAATTTTGACACATTTATATGTCATGTAGTATGTATTGAAAGTTTTTGTGTAGTTTTCATAGTATGATTCATGAATTTCACTGATTTGCTTGAATGATGGAGCGAATTCGGATGCATTTATCGCAACAGATGAATCCTGTAAAAAGATAAATAAAAAATAAAGATGGACAAAAATATGAAAAATGTGATACGACTTACGCAAATGTCAGTTCGATCGTTTGTGAGAAGTGTACCGTTTGATGTGGCTTTTGATGTTCTAATAGCAGCAGGTGCGACCTTTTGATAAAAAAATACGAAAATGATTAAGGATGGCTATTTACGCAAAAGATGATGTAAAATATAACAATTTGCCGTTTTTAACTTACGCAACAGTCTGTTCGGTCGGATGTGAGAGTGCAATAGTTGGGACTGACTCCTATTACACTGATGCAACGTTGCGCATCGAATACGGTCTCTTCACTCTCTATGATTTGATGTGTGTTGGTCGGTGGACGTTCTGTTCGGCTAATGAAACAATTGAATCTGCTTTTTGTTTCATTTTTCATTTGTGCTTGCATGAAAGGACATTCAAACTCATAAACAATATTTTTTGGTTTTCGGTTCGATTTGATACATTTCATTATGCATGATTCGTTTGATAAGGGTCGAAGAAAATTCTTTTTTATTTTATTTTGCAATTTTTTTAATTGACTCGACTTGGTTAGTTTTTTTTCAACGATCATGGTACTGTTCTTCATTTTTTTTTTGGTTTCGCACAAAAAAACTATTCTTTTTGAATGGTTAAAACTTATTTAAATTATATACGGATATATAGTTAATGATTTTGATAAAACGATGCACTAATTTTATTGTTTTTGCCAACAAAATTTAAGTGGTTGAAATATAAAAAGTATTCAAATAAAGCACCTTACAAACGACCTATTCTAATGACAAACACAAAGTGAAATGAAAATGTGACTTTGCTTTGTCTCCAAACCAAAAAAAAAATCCGTTACTTTTTCTATGGCGTGATTTTTGCATTGTGCTTGAGAACGCACCGCCGAAATACATACCAATACACAGTGCCAAGGTTTGTGTTATCTTGTTCACTCTTCTTGCACTTGTCGTACATGCAAAGCCGAATTCAATGCGATTGTATTAACATAAGAAGAATTTATTTACAAATGAACGAACTCTGTTGATTTTTTATCGAACTTTTCGCACGAACGGAAATGCTCGATTTTTTTAATAACAAAATGTGTATAATTAAATTCAAACTAACTAAATTTTAGTTTTTTCGGTGGATGCCCTTCGTCCATGCTTTCATCGGAATTTGATTCCTCTTCGTCGGATTCACTGTCATTTCCATCTTCATCGCTCGGTTCGTTGGTGTTTTTAGCAAAAATGACGGTCTTCCCATATCTTCGACCCTCTGTAAAATTGAAACAAACAAAACAAATTTATTTGATTGTAAATAATAGAAAAAAACTATTTTTTCTCTTTGTTCTGCTTGAAACGCACCTGCTTTCAATAGAATTGTTCGGCAAATGTTTGAAATGGCACTTTTTGATTGTTCTTCACTCAATCCAAATATCAGTCCTCTGAAGAAAAAAAACGAATGTCCATCAGTTATAAAATTCCTTAATTTCAAGAGACTTGTGTCACTTACAAATTGGCCACATCGTATGGGGATCGAACTTGAAATGGATTTAATGCACCGCCCGTAATCACAATGCTCTTTGGTTTTCGATGTGACACGATATTTTGTGCAATGACAATGACATCTTTTCGATGATTTGAATTGCGAATAGCCGGCGCATATGGAACTTCGAAGTAAATACCACGACGAGCTGCCATTTGGTAATATTTGTGACCAATCAGAAACACTTTGGTTGCCTCATCGTGCAGCATTCCAATCATGTCTCCTGGAAAAGTTGAGCACGCATAGTGCATTGCCGTTTCATTTATCGGTATGCCGCAAATCAAATTGTACTTCTTTATGTTGGTCGACAGATTCATATCGTGCATGACAACATTTTGAGTAAAGACAATAGAGAGCCGATTCAAGATTTTCAATTTGTTTTCGAATTTTGCACGAAGACTCGTCAAATCAGCTGGCGCTGGGAATATATCGGACACCTTACGATTGCATTTTGTGTGATCAAACGTTTCATCAATTGCGACGGTTCGGTAGCCAACTGAAAACAAACAACAACACCATATTGTAGTAAATAGTAAACAATGTGAATCAAGATGTTGATAATTAAATTACATACCATTGTAGAGCTCATTCAATATGGCAAATAAATCACTCTCGTTGCTTTGATACGGCACACTCAAATCATAGAAACCTTTTGTTATTTCCATTTTTTATGTGTTTACTCCATGAACATCGAGTAGTTCAAGTAAATAGAGAGGTTATGTTATTCTGTTTACCTTCAAATGTGTTAAACGATTGTTTCCTTTGAAATGTTTTATTGACATTTTAGCCGTCATTTTTTAGTTCGACCCTTTGTAAATAGATGTCAATACTTTTGGATTTCATTATGCGCTTTGGATTTATTTAAAACTTAAATTTCGCTTTTTTGTTTCAAAATAGAAATCGTTAATTAAAATTAATTAAAACACATTTTCTAGCTTATTCTTTATAGAAGAGAATTTATTTCAAGTAAAATTCAATACGTTATATATCAATTATATTTGGCTTAAATCTTTGCTGCCATATTTTTGCTCCGAAGTCGAAAAGACTGGTGGCTGGTATTCGATCGGGTGGAGTTTCATTGCAAATGATATTGTAAATAATTGTGATAAAATCAGTCTGAGATCAGACGGTGAATAAATAAATTTTGTGATTTTGAGATTTTGATGTTCTGTTTGAATGGTTGTTAATTAATCGAAATCATCATTATTGAATATACCAACTTTTGAATAAATCTAATTTGCAAAAATGTTGAAACAATATTATTTATTGCTTTTTTAGCTCTTGGTTTTATTTTTTATACTTATTTTTATGTTGTTGTTGTTGTATTTTCAAAAATCTTTAACTTGAAATATAAAAACATAATATCAGAGAACACAATGAAGGCTATATAAATAATGAGCTAAATATCATAAAAGGATTTTCTTTCAATTGCAAATATTAAAATTATTGCAACAACGTGAAATTTTTTATACGTAAATGGCGTGCTGCACAACGTGTATGCTTTCATAGTATGTGAGCTACGTTCGTGTTAAATAATTGGAAAAATTAAGCTGAAATTACAGAAATCAATACGCGTCATATCACCTGTGTACAAAAAGGATCTTACGGAATGTTTTCAAATTGAAGTTTGAAATGAAAGAATGTTCGAAATACAACTGATTCCTTTACACGACGTAACAATAGCATCAACCATCATCATTGATGTTGAAGTGGGAACCCAAAAACATTCTTGGGACCCTAGAAAATTACCTTCTTAGATGGGTCACATTCCAAATTTTAATGAGATATACTTTATTATATAAGATAAATATCATCTTTGAGCATCTTTGGCAAATGTTCAGCCACGGAAACCAGTGCGGTGAAAAGCGAGCATATGTAAAGTGCGCATATACGCTGTATAATTAAAGCGATTAAATATCCAATGGGTGTTCGCCGTGGATAGCCTTTGGAAATTATATGAAAATATTTTAAAGGAAATATTAGTGATATACGATGTAATTATTGCGTATGTATGTGTATGTATGTGTGTGTGGAAAAATAAAATTTACCAGGCTCGGAAAGGTAATTTACAGTCTGTGGTTAAAGATGTCAGTAAATAACGCCGTGTACAAAATTATAACTAATCTGTGTAGCATGTAGCTTATAATTCTGATTTCAATTTAAATCTTTCGACATTTTCTCGATTTTTTCATTCGCATCCTGAACGATTCGGCTTCGAATGCATTTTCCGAACCTATAGTTATGGAAATTCGAAGGTTTTAATATAACAGATCATAATTTTTTTACACACTCAAAATTTAATTCTCACTTTTTTTCATAGCGCTCTCGAAGTTTTCACACGCTTTAAAACAGCTTTTAGCATCCAAAATATAAATTAGCATATTTAAACATATAGTTAAGCATACAAACATTGGACCAAATGAATCGACAAATTCAGTCTCGACAATAAAAAAGGCGAATGATGGTATGGCCAGTAGTAATGTTAAAATGAAGGGAAGAAAAATTCGAATATTGAACGGCCGAAAATTTTGAAATGCCCGAGACTCATACAATCTCATAAAATTGTCAATTAAAAAAACTTGAAAGATTTTCATTCTGCGTTGAGTAATTTTTTTAAATATTCGCAAATGTTTAGTGTAATGTATTTCACGAACGTTAAACAAAATTATTTACGGGATTTATTTTGATTTTAATTTTTGATTTTGATTTTATGTTTTTAATTAACCGTGAAAAATTTTATATGTTTATAGAGTTCAGATATTCTTCAACTGCTTTCATGAGCTTTTAAACGAAAACTAAAGCTAAGCGCATCAGGAGCAATGTTTATAACATTGACGTCGCTGCGAATAGAATGTGTTTTTGTACACGTGTTCCTTATTTCATTTATAAGCGGCGCAACAGATTCCTTTGTGTGCAACGTCAATCTAATATGAAAAAATACTGATGAGAAAACGCACATGTTGCATAGAGGATTGTTCAAGAAAATTCTAACAAAGAGCTTCAAAACGAACTATTTTCCAGTGTAATGGATTGTTCCCCAAAACAGTGAATGGTGATGTATAGAATTAATTGAAATATTTATTATTGAAAACTGTTCTGATTCCTCACAAACATACGCGCATAAAAAAAGGTCCATGGTTTTTTTGGTGCGTACCTTCTTCGATTTTGTGTAACTATTCATTCTTTGAGTTTATATATTCAATTTGACCCAAATCAGACAGTTAATAGTTGAACAAGCATGCTAATTGGGTGCAGTATATTTATTTACACAGCACAAGGGCGTCTTATAGGGATGTATATTCGAATGTCCGCACATGTGAAAGTCGAAACTGGGGACTAGGTTTAAATAATTGTACCAAAAATGTACTTAATTGTACCGCAATTTATTTTTAATTGTACCTTACTCGTTTGGCTAATATTTGAGGTTCAAATTTCGGGGTACTTCAATTTGCCGGTCAACTAGCCAAAATAAAACTCAAAGATATTTTTTAAATTTTTATGGCTGATAATAATTGTACCTAAAATGTACCTTCAAAATAACATCATCATAAAGTCATTATACAATTAGTTTCAGTGAGGTACAATTCGAAATTAGCATGGTACAATTAGTACAATTCGAAATTAGCATGCTACAATTAGATTCATGAGGTAAAATTCGAAAATACCATGGTACAATTCGAAATTAGCATGGTACAATTAGATTCAGTGACACAAATTTACGTTTGAAATTTGATGGAAATTTGCAAATTTTGACCATGGTCTTACTACCGAACATAATAAAACTGAGTAATTGGTCTACTATATCACATATTCCTCTTCGATTGCATACATGTGATATTCCAAAAGCAAGTGAGTTGCGGTTCATTTTTAGTTTAGCGGTTCATTTTTTATTCACACATAATAACAATAGAAACACTTTTTTTTAGCTCATCGATTTCTGAAGTGGGAGAAATTCTAACCAAGTAAGTTTTGTTGTCGCTTTCGAGCTGCTGAGATTTTTGAGCCAAATTCTCTCCCCCTCGTAACCAATTTCTTGCCGAATGCAATCAAATCCCTTTTACACTAGATAGAATTGAATTTTTTGCTTACCCCTCTCGATTTTTTTTTTTTTTTCAATTACTCCCCCTTAAATTTCTACCTTGATCAAGTATGAATAGAATTAAAACGCTTTCTAATATTTTTTTTTGATAAGAAATGAAAAATGAATTGAAAATTTAATAAATAAATCAACTTTAAATAAACTTAATTGCTAAAAATCCAATAAAAAAACAATAAAAGCTAATTAAGCTATTGCCATTTTCTTTTTTGCGTTACTTTAATTCTAAACTTAAATCATTTTGTATCTGTTTTTAATGAAGTTTGAAATGATAACCTAATCTAAGCCAAATTCATTGCGAATCCATGGATATTGTGCCGGACACTCATTGCATGTGTAGAAATATCGATCTTGTTGAAGTACTCGGCTTCGTAGTTTGCATGTATGTGGTAAGTTACATGCTATTTCAGCCGGTTCAAATGATTTTCCCTTACAATTCCACGGTTCGAATTGATTAAGTGAATTAATTGGCGTGGGATGGCGCATCCATTGAATCGCTTGATAATTTGTAACAAAATAAACATCCGACATTTTGGCAATGTCGTCCATAAATCGCATAAATGCATCGATATATTCCGGTTTTTTGAACCATGTTGCGTGGAAGTAAAGTCCGAACGGTGCTCGATTTGACGCATAGTGACGCTTAAAATTATGCGAAAGCATTCGGTAAACATCTTCACCATTCAAATGAGGCGGACAACTGTCAACCATGCCACAATAATAATCGCCAGCTTGAAATTGATTCATCACCATTTCCCAAACGCCTGGATAGCTACGCGATGGACAATGTTGATTATTGCCAGTACATGCATGCGGCATTTTATAGTCCAATGTATATGGCCACAATGGTGGATTCGAAAATGGTGCCACCATCGATGAATCGTATACGAAACCAAATTCTTTCATCATCAAAAATTGACGATTCCAACCGACACGCAAAAATGGTACACGCATTCCTCTTAAATCTTCCATTCGTACGTTGGCAAATTTATTTATGATATTCGCTTGACCCACCATTTCATCGAACCAATCTTCAATTGTTGCATTACGTGACCACCACTCTTCGGGTCCACGATGTCTAAAAAAATGATTTTAAATGAAAATTAAATTATTCGTTGATTAAATGTAAATAATGTCAAATTCGTAATAAATCAAAATAACTAGAATTTAAACGAAGCAATACAACGGTGTGAAACTCATGCAGCTTTAGTTAAATATCATTAAAAATTCAAATTACGTGATCGAGTGTACGGCAATTTCGTGTCCGTCGTTCCACATTTTTTGTACCATTTGATAGTTGGTAAATTGATGTGATACATAAAAAGTGCCTTTAATTGAACAGCCATTGGGGTTTTTGCGATTTGGTGTGAATAATTTTGTGGTAAATAGTTCCCAATTTTCAAAGTTGATGGCATCATCGAATGTCAACACGATCATTTGTGGGACTTGATTTGGTTCTAAGCGGCCCGGTATTAACGTTCCATCTTTTGAACAAAAGCATTCTGGAAGTTGGCATTGTGATAAATCACATGATTCGGCGGCGTTTGGATCATTATCTGAATCACACCAACCTTCATCGCTGCCATCGCTGCAATCAACTGAACCTATCAACTCAAAACGAGAACCCCGTTATTATTCAATCGCGAAAGTCGTTATTATTTTGTCTTTCAAACAAAATAAAGCGGTAGATTTGAAAATGTCAAATTGACTCTAACAAACCAACCGTCGCGAAAAATAATTTACCGTCACATACCATCACAAAAGTACTCATTCGGCAAACATGTTGAATCGGCGCATGCAAGTTGATTGCTTTCACAATTGCCTTCTTCTAATAGCGGCTTTGGTATTTTTGCCTCTGCATTAAAATTTGATGAAAAAAAAACCAGAAATAGAAATAAATGGCTGTCGCTGATTTAATTACATATGATACAAACAAAAAAAATGAAATAAAATGGACATTTTCGTTGCGAAAGAAAACTTGAACCACACACATAGACAGATAGATACAAACACAAACCTGCTGTGACATCGCAATTATCAACGTTTTGCTTAAAATCACAAATTTGACGCATGACATCGAACAAAAGTCCAACAGAACATTTAAATTCAAACACTTCACCATCCAAACACAAATAGTATTTCGAACATTCGGAATTTGTCCATATCTTATGCTTTTCGCGTTCGGGATTTCGATAGAATTTCGAGTCTTCGTAACATTTAATGGTATCCTTGAGACTGCGTTTAACCAAATTACCGCCAGCAGCTACACAATACGAGTCGAAAAAAGAAACAAATATTTTGCGATTAAATAACGATTTCTTTTAAAAATGGCAAAAATGACTTAAAACAGCTTTATTGACTATATTATTTAAATGCACCGCAATAAGCATCTGTATCATATGGCACTAGCTTGCGAATGTGTATAGATATATGTGTGTGTGTGCGTTTGTCTGTTGAATATATTGACGATTTTCATTCAGGTTTTTCATCGCACAATTGCATTGCAATCGCAAAAGAGAAACAAACAAAGAATGATGAATGAGAAGAAAGAAGAAACAAACCAATGAGAAAAACCTGTGTAACCAATTGGCCAAGTGAAGAGTGTAACTCGCGCGCGAAATTTCTCTTTCAATGAACAAAATTAAGCGCGTATTGTTGTTGTTGTTGCCACTGCTGTTGCTGCTTGTACCGATGCTACTGCTTTGGCGGCAAGTGAATTGTATGGTGACCGAGATGCGCGCAACGTACGGTTTCATGTTTTACAAAATAACTTTATATTAGACACGTAGTAGTTGGGAATAAAAACATCGGTCGCGATTTGTATCTTTCATAATTTTTGTTGTTGTTGTTATTCAAATGCGCGATACGATCATAACGAAAAACGACATAACATTAGAAATGGTAAATTGCATTTGAGATAAGAGGTAATCTACATCATATTTAAATAGTCGTTTTGTGTGCGATTTTCACAAATGAACCGGCTTCTTCTTGTTGCGCACACGCACATATAACAACATCAATTCACAATCAACGTCACTCACACCGTTTAATGCGCGATCATTGTTTCCCAACAACTTCTATTATTTATTCCAGCGACATCTCAGGCCTCGACGAAAATAGCGTAGGAAATGAGTTCTGGATTCTGTTTCCATTGTTTAAAGATATGGTACAAAATGTTCTGTTTTTGTTTCGTTTGCATTTTTTACCATGCAATTGTGCTACTCGCTAGCACTGTAATTACCACACAATTTTGTAATACATATTTAAAATGATTTTATATTCAGTTTTCCTTCCTTCTTAAAATCTATCTTAAGCGATAGATGATGATGGTGGTGGTGGTGGTAGTGATTGTTATTGCTGCTACCGTTGCTTATGTTTTTGATGTTGCATTCGATGGGCTATAAATGAATAATTACCAACTGAATCAAACGGCCTACAAACCTAGAAACCGAAGAGCCCACAGAGAATTTATCGACGTGTAAACAATGGTCAATGATTACAATCATCTGTTCGCTTCATGTGCATAAAGCGATGATAGTGTGCTCGGAAAATTTGCCTGCAGTCACTCATCGGCCAATCAAATCGAACATCTCGTCAATTGTGCACATCATTTTACTTCTTTTTCAACAACAAAACAATTAGTTTTCCATTTTTCGTTCGGCCAACTAAAGCGAAAGAGATATTGGTGTGCGGAACACGTTTACTAAAGAACCATATTTTATTTTTCACATGAGAGCAACACGAAAAATTCGGTTAACAAAAAACATATATTATTTTCTATGAAAAAAAAAAACGACAACATTAACGAGGTCTCTAAGCGAGTCCAACGAAATGCCGAGTTTCTCAGATTACAACAGATCAATTGTGCCCTTTACATGTTTTTTTAAGACAACATTTCCATAATACTCGGCTACTGTGTGCAATTTTGGTGTTTGTATATGAAAAATTCATTTTTTTGTTGTTGTGGATGATGAAGTAAAAAAAGGAAGTTGGCGTAATGAACGACCATTGTTTCTCCATGCGAAATAAAGAACTTTTGGTATGTGACGCATTTTCCCAAAATAAAGAGAAACAATTTACGAGCATACATTTACGACATTGTTGATGTTAAAAACACCTTTGAATGTTCGTTAAATTTGGCTTCCACTTTAAAATTATAATATTTGACCAAAAATCAACCTGAGGGTAATCAACTTTATATCGGAGTGTTTAAAATGAAAGTTTTTTTCTCTATGGGAGTCTTTTTTTAGCTGCAATTCAAGCCGTCACTTTCATTTCGGCGGATCAAAGAGTATATGATTGCGATTTTAATAAACATTAGAAGTTGAATTATGAACACAAAATTTAAAAAAAGAGATTTTTCGCTCGTATCAAAGTCTTAAAAATACTTATTGTGTCCACTTGTTTGTTACAACGAATGGAAATCATGCGTAAATTGTTGGTCAAAATTTCATTTATTCAATTTTATTTTAATATAACGGTGAACAATAGATTTGTGTTTATTAAAAGTTGATTGAATTTATACCGTTTTCGGAAAGGTTAAAGTCGTTCCGTTTGAAATGTTCATTCACTTTGTGTAACCATTAACCAAAGTGGGCATTAAATTTTCGGAGTGAGAAAGAAAAAAGATTTTTACGATTAATTCGTAATTTTTTACATCTACTACATTGCTTTCTCCCACAGTAAATTATAACATTTCAATTGGCAAATGTTGTCAGGTGGCTTTTTTCGATGTTTTTATTCATTCACACAGCACCTTAAATCGAGATAAAACTGAAAGAAAATTGCCATCTTTCTTCTTTGTTGCAAACAAGTTGTGCAATGGGCGCTCACGCGTGCGCACACACAATTATTGCATTTTGTTTGCAATTTGCAATCAATGCTCTTACTTTTGTCTATATTATCGTCAAATTGATTTATACTTGAATAAACAAAACACACACACACAAACGGGAAAAAAAGTTCACAAACGAAAGAAGACAAAGATGAAAAAAAAGGTTAACAAACACATGAAGAAAGAAAAGGTTCACAAAATGCCATTATATATTCGATTTACCACGCAGCGGCAATGAAAATGCGATGATGCAAACCGCGGAGATAATGAACAAAAACTTTTTGCGATTCATTTCGGTTTTTATTCCGGAACTTCCGTTTGATTTACACAAAACACATTCGCTTTTTGTACACGTTTCAGATTGTTTTTATTTTCTTATTCTAATAATTTATTTTCAATGGTTCGATTGTCTTTCATTCACTTTTTTTGCTGCGCTTCATAAAAAAATTTCTGTTAAAACACTGAATAAACGTCCATCATTTTGTAACGAGAGTCGTGGAAAATTATGTTGCGCGTATCACGTAGCAAACACTTCAAGCGATCAACTCAAACTGATGTTGCAGCATACAGACGGTTATGCTTATACCGAAAATTATTGCTATTTTTTTTTTAATTCAGCGGTTGAAATGAGAAAATCAAGCGATATACACAGCCATACGCTCTAGAGCCAAAGGTACAATACACAGAGAGAGAGCAAGAGAAAATGTATCTATCGCATAATAGTCACTTGCATATATGCCCACACATACATGTGTACATTGTTTACTCTTGATCTTGCGCTACTGTTTCACTTCCTCTCTCTCACACACTCGTTGTATGAAGAAAACAAATGCAAAACAATAATGATCTCATATGTCAAGCGTGTGCGCTTGAGCGCGATCACTGACCGATCATAACAAAAACAACAACAAACAAATAAGAGAAAAAAAATACTCTCTTTTCAACTTTCTTCGATCGGTAGTACCGCCAAAACCGAATCGATTCGGATAGTCAACCACATATCGTTGAATTATTGACACAACAACCATTAAAAACGTACAATTTACTCGGAAATCGAAAAATAAAATCAATTATTTATCATTTCTACCATAAATTAATAGGTACAGTTAGAAATCGCAGTTTGTTTTCTTATTTCATTCGTTGATTTGTTTCGATATTGTTTAATAGATGGCGCGAGGTGAGTGCAATACCCTCCCCATACAAAACTTAGCAACGAACAGCTGATAAACAAACACACTTTTTGACATAATTAAACTTAGAAATATATTTTGACAGAACAATAACCGGTCTTTGTTTTGTTTCACAAATTTCGTTTGCTTTTATTATTCCTCTTTATAATTCGAAGGTCGGAATTTTCGAGCAAAAATAAAACATTATGAAATTCCATGTTCAATCAAGTTTGATTGTAATATTGTCGTGTGTACTGATATTAGAAGCGACCCTAGCACCACCCGACAAAAATAAGAAATCAAAACCAGCAAAAGAGTTGAAAATAAATAAAGGTCCTGTCGATAGAAATGTACACGATCGAAATTTGGTGATTGACGAACCCACGTCTGAATCAATACTCAAAGAAAGTGCAACGTATTATAAAAACACTTCGGCAAGACTGTTCGATGGTCCGACACTGGGATTTGTCACACCAGTAAGTATAATATAAATCAATTTGGCACATGCATCTTAAATGAGATATATGAATAATTGAACCGATTTATACTTTGACATCGAAATAGTGGAATAACCATGGCTATAACGTGGCAAAAACTTTTGGAAGCAAATTCGATATTATATCACCAGTATGGCTACAAGTCTTGCACAAAGGAAAGCATAAGTATGAAATTGGTGGCACTCATGATGTTGATGCAAAATGGATTCAAGACGTACGCAGAGCCGGACCGCCGGGGAAAAAGGGTAGCAAAGTTAATATAAATGTTTTGTGCTGTTATTGATTTTTCCCAAATTTCTTTGCAGTGTTGCCACGTGTCATGTTTGAAAAATTCAGCGAAAATGATTTCTCGCATGTTTTAATGTATGAAAGTGCACGAGATGAAATTGCTGAGTTATTGGTTCAAGTGTGCAAAAATCCCAAGCATAAGTTCGATGGAATCGTCCTTGAGGTTTGGTTTCAATTGGCTGGCCGTGTACAAGACAAGCACTTACTACGTCTTGTCGAGCATTTGGGTGACCATTTTTTTTCAATTCTTAAATTGTTAATTTTTTTTTTGTATTGACGTTTATTTTTTTAACTGTTTATGTTTATTTAAACTGTAGCCAAGGTGCTTCAGATGAATAATTTGATGGTGGTGTTGGTGGTGCCACCACTTCGTGATCAAATGGATTTCTTTACGCAAAAACATTTTGAAGCATTGTATCCATTGATGAGCGCGTTTGCTTTAGTTACTTACGACTACTCGAACATTGAACGACCCGGCGCCAATTCGCCGATAAAATGGATTCGGCGGGCGGTTGAACACATTTGCCCAGACACCATTCCAAATTACCTCGAGAAGCGTCAAAAAGTGTTGATTGGAATGAATATGTATGGAATGGATTACACCTTAGGAGGAGGCGGTCCAATAACGGGGAGACAATTTTTGGATTTATTGAAGATGTACAAAGGATCTCTCAATCATGCCGAAGAAGACGAGGAGAATTACTTTGAATTTAAGTGAGTTTTTCATTAACAAATCGACAAATTTCTTTCATAAATTGCGAAATATCTTTCTTCATACCAAATAGGAAACCAAGCAAGCATCTCGTATTCTATCCAACATTGTACTCTATAAACAAACGCATCGAATTGGCAAAAGAGCTGAATACTGGTCTATCTTTGTGGGAAATTGGTCAAGGTTTAGAGTACTTTTATGATCTTTTCTAAACAAAACGAAATACAAATTTTGCTTCAATTTTTTCTTTATTCGAATAATTAAAAAAAAAACAATATGCACGACATTCCAACGAAATCGTGATTCACATACACACAAAGTTATCGAAATTTAAAGAAAAAACATTGAAAAATTCTAAAATATTTGCAAAGAAAATAAACAACGATAACAGACAAAGACTGCGCAAAAATAAAATCGCACGAGTATTTTTTATCAGAGTAACGAATGTCAAAACCTCAAATTTATCTCTCTAGTCGATTGAAATAAAGTAACACATGCACATGCCAAAAGTGACACTTGTGTTGTTGTTTTTTTTATCTTATTTAAACACTAGGCATTTTAAACTCTATGAATTTCTTAATCGTAATTAACCAGCAGCAACACGGCCGCGCCCTTTATACATCATCATCGATTGTGGTCCTTTGATAACATGAATCATGAGATCCCAGCACATCTTAGCGGGCAACAAACTAAAATGGATAAAACAAAAACATTTTAAAATCGTATGCAAAGTGTGAACGGAAATTTTGACTCACCATTTTAATGGTAGCAACATTCGGATACTATTTGGCATTGTGCAATTGACCTCGTTCTTTTGTACAGATAATGTGATTTGATCGGCTACATATTTGGTAGTAAGCATTGGAAACAATCTGGGCTTAACACCAGCAAACATTCCGGATGCGATATAATATGGGCACACTAAAGTCATGTGAATGTCATCATAGCCATGTGTCTTGAGCTCTGTGAATAATGCTTCGTGGAAACCGACGCAAGCAAATTTCGTTGCCGAATAGTCAGTGCAACCATATGTACCCAAAAGACCAGCAACCGATGCAACAGTAACGATATGACCCTTTCCGGATTTTCCGGACTCCATCATTTCTGGCAAAAACGCTTTAGTCGTCCAGTAATGCGATAGGATGTTTACGGAATAGGTGTTTTCGATGACTTTTTCAGGTAGATCCCAAAGCGGTTTACAGCATACGATGCCTGCATTATTAATTAAAATGTCAACACCACCAAATTCATCTTTCAATGTTTTAGCCGCTTCGAAGACATTCTCCCGTTTTGATATGTCAACAACATAACCTTTGCATGGAATACCTTCGGCTTCAAGCTCTTCGATTGTCTTATTGATTGCTAGAAAAAAAAATTCGTTATTGATTTATTTGTAAATAAAATGTTATTTCTGTACGTAAAGATATATTTAGAAGAGAAAAATAACTAAATCGTATGCAAAACTATGCAAAAGTCAAACTTGTCGAAGGTTGTTTAAATTTCTTAAAATTCGCATACTCATGTTGTCGTTTGTTCAAGGAAAATAAATGGCTTCGAAGGGTCATTTGAACAGGAAATCGTGAAGATCAAAAGTGATATAATAAGCAAATAGATTCTTCAATGAGACACCGCAATTTTAGTTTGAAATCTTTGTATTGTTACTGAGCCGCTGTTTCCATACGACACAGATGTCTTCTTTACTTTAAAGTCAGTTCTTCTTTCTTTTGCATTTTCTTAGCTTGAAAAATAATCAATAATTCTTCATGCCAATTCAAACAAGAAAAAAAAAATATTAAAAGAGGTCCGACATTGGTTCTTCACAGTAGTTGTTCGCCCATTGATGGAATATTTATCTGTTGAAATCAAAAGCTATTTGTTTTGTACTATGCAAACAATTTGACAACTTCACATCAATGTGTGTGTGTTGCGCACTTGAATATTCAATGGGTTTTTGTAACACAATAATATGCTCTGCTCATATCAGTATCGAAATACAATATATTGCGCATAAAATCAAACAATCGCAAATAACTTAATCAATATTCTTCTGAAGAAATTCGAACGTGCTAAATATTTTGATCAACGCATCTTTTTTTCCTTTGTCTGACACAAGCAGCAATTTTGACTACCATTAATATCGAACAATAATCGGTGTCGCACTAAGATTTTGTTGGTTGACGCAAAAAAAAAAACAAACCGAACAAGCAAAATTGTGTAAATATTCGGCCGAAAATCGTATTGAGCAAATATAAGATTACACAAAATTTACATGCCGCGAACAAATGTAAGCTATGTTAATTAAATACATTTTAAAATACACAGATGCAGACGCTTTCAATTACAACGATATGATAACTGGATGACACGATAACATCTTTAGCATCTTCAACATTTGGTCGAGTCCGAAATCAAACAACGTACATATATTACGTAAAATTCAGTATTTCTTTTACCTCGAATTTGTAAAAAAATTGCATTAATTTCCCTTTTTTTGACCGACACGCGCCGTCTTTTAAAATACATATAAATGAACATTTTGACTGGCAAACCTTTCTATCTGAATGTGATGAGAAATTATGACTTTTAAAAAGAGTTGAAACATGTTATTTTACTGGAAATATATTCAAAACACTGGTATTTATGAACACGTGACTATCGAAAGTGGTCGCATCATTTTTGGGCATTTTTAAAGATAAATGAGCTAGTTAGAGAAAATAAAGAAAGACGATTCAAAACCCATACATAATTTATGCAACAATGAATAGCTGAATAGAGAAACACAGAGAAACTCTAAAGACTCTCTTTTTTGCGTCTACGCATTGGTCTGAGCCCACTGTTTTCTGTCAAACTTCAACAATGCCTATATTGGTGAAGAGTCTCATACATTCAAATAAATGTCCAACTTTTTTTCTCCTCCAAAAAACAAGATTTCAACGAAGCAAAAACAAAACCTCAATTACTTTTTTAGATCTAAATTTAGGTCTTCGATGCTGTGGAAATGTATAAATGAGCCTTGAGTCTTTTTTCACTCTTCATGGACATTATTTTCTTAAGCTGAATGATATCACATGATTCCAAAATAAATATTTTCAAACAATATTTACTGATTATTCAAATCAAATATCGAATTTCAAGAACGAACGACATGGGCGCAGCATCATTTGATTTGGATGGACAACTTTATGCTGTTATATCACAAATATCTATTGGTTAGACAGCAATCGAACTCATGATAATATCTCTAATACAATATTTAACGGGCATCGAATCTTTTCACATATATTTCTGGAAAATAAACAAATAGACAGCGAGAAAAAACGCAGATGAAAGATTGTGTCGCATTGATTAAGTCACTCGTTAAATTTTAAATGATATTGCGCACTCTGTTTCTAACCACATTGCGGTGTGCTGTCTGTTATGCGTTTGATATTTTGTCCAAATGTGAATTAGATGCGCAAGTAGAGAGCCAATAAGAAAATCACTGAAAATTATATAAACGCGTCAAATCAGTGGAAAAGGTAACACTTGCAGAGCGTATCGATATTTTATTTCATTCATCATCGTTATTATCTTTATTGTAAACATTTTGTGCGTTTTCAATTAAAACCTGCTTGGTTCGATGTTAGGTGACGAAAGTGTACGCGCACGATGATGGGAAAAAAATCATTTATTTATTTTCCCCGTCTCGTCCGAAATTGGAAATTGATATCACCAGCGCTCTTACACTTTGATTGTATAACGGTAAGTCAAATTGTTGCTATTAGTAGACATTTAGCCGATTAAAAGGTAAACGAACTTGAAAAGCGTGCTATTTTTATATTCATTCAAACAAGTTTGATGAATTTGAAATAAGAACTTCGATACTTAGAAATGGGATATATATTTGCCATTCCATACTTACCTTCATTGTTAACATCCCAAATGACAACTTTTGCGTTTAGTTTGCCAAAATTCCGAGCCAAATGGGCTCCAACGCCGCCACCGCCACCAGTTATCAACACTACTTGTCCGGACACATCCTAAAACAAACAAACCAAAAATTATGTAAATAATGTTTGAAGACAGAAACATAAGTGTTTGATGCAATAATGAAAGCGAATTAATTTCAATAAAAACTGACGTATCGAAAGTAATTAAAACCACAATAATTGAGTTTAAACCAATTCTTTGGGATTCGATTACAAGACCCTTGATACAACTTTGGCAACACAATTGTTATTTTTGATATGTAATTTACGCAATTTGTTTCTTTCTTATTTGCACAATTGCATTAAACAATATCTAAGCTGGCTGTGCCTCACCACATAGGCCGCGTACCTATTAAATCATGCTTGATTTGTGTGCGAAGTTTTTGTTTCCAAACACCATTGAATTGAATAAGAAAAAAAGGCAACCACAATCCAGATATGTGTGTGTACGTAAATTGGGGCCAATGTGCATGTGGCAAACGCACAATTTTCTCTATCTCTCGCTCGTTCTTTCTTTCAATTCTCTGACCCATTGTTTTCCGATGAGGTCAACAAAACTCGGCGCACCGCAGTAACATTTATTTGAAAACGCACATTATTCGACAATTTTTATGATCTATTGTCGATGTTAATTGTCAATTGTGATTATTTCTTCTGATGTATTTCTCTTATTTGTTTCGAACTATGCTTTGATATTACAATTCATTTTAAAGTGCTCAAAGTAGCACAGCTCAGAGAGAAAAACCACAAGCATTTGAAATAATAAAAAAAAATGATGAAAAGCCCCCAAGGGTTATTGCTTTTTAAAACGCAACTATTCGATGAGAGTGAACATAAAACATGAAATATCATAAATCAGAAATGCATGGTAAATTGGCAAAAATGTGATTTCCGTCATTATGTGGACGCCGATCGTTGTTATGGAGACGAAATCTGTGAGTGTAGTTTTCGCGCGCGCATTCATATGAGAAAGATGTTATCAAACTATCAATTGCAATGAATGTGCGCATGCAAACATCTGCATTTCATCTCATTTTCATGCGCTGCTTCTAAGTAACACATAATCATAAAGTAGTCGAGTTGCACGTTTACTCACTGCCTATCGTATATGCCATTTATTTAAATAGCACAATTCGTACGAGCGCAACGAAGAGAAAGAAGCTCAACGGTAATAAAAGCAACAATAACAACAGCAGCAGCGGCGGTGGCAATGTAGAAAAAAATTGTAATGAAAACCATCCAGTCATTTATAGAAAGTTTTTGTTTCTATTCGATTTGCTTGTTTGAGGTTTTATTTATTACATTTTGCCCGTTGCATGCACGAACTATCTATACAATGTGTATACATACGTATAATGTATTGAATAGTTTTAGTTAATCGAAGCATTGTACGGTGCTGTGCCAAAGCCCAATTCGGTTTCATCATGCAAGACCGACGAAAACAAAAATCGTACACACTCTGTGCAAATTCTATTGTACAAATGAGGAAAAAAAAGTACGTTGCACATTATGGTTCGAAAGTGATTTGTTTGAAAAATGTTATATTGCTTTTGACGAACCATCACCATTTGATATTATGGCGGGTCAAAGAGTTAAAAGATCATAGAAAATGTCAGATGTAAAAACGAACATAAATTGAAAACTGCATTCAACTCTTGTTTTATGAAGCGAAAAAACACATTTGGTGGGATAAAATGCCAAATGACACAACAACAACTTTGAAACCAAAAGAAACTAATTTAAATTTTTGCTTTCAAAGTGATAATTATTTGATCTTGGCGACAGAGAAGAAAGCGTGCCCACTGCCCATGCTGCGCCCGATGTCTTTGACCATTATGATTAGCTCACAGAATTCCATCGTTTTTTCTCGTGATAAACATTTAATGTCGTCTCTCCCAATATGCATACAGTTGGAGAAGTCAACGGATTTTTAAACGAATTCACCATTTCACAATACATACATACCAATCAACACACAAATCGATTTGACTAATTTAATCGTTAAACTACTTTTTTTGAAATTCGTCTCACTTTTTTTTTTATTCACACATCCAATTGAAGAAATTCGAAAAAGTATGTCGTGATTTCGATGCAAATTTCGTGCAGACTTACCTTTAATTTACGATAACGATTTGGCACAATGGTGAGAATTAATGTTTCGAGTAGAAAATAAATCGATCGACTAACAAACACAATGAAATCCACTAAAAACATTAGAAATTCCGACAATGGATTGCCGTACATAGTCGATAATTCGTCTGAAGACATTTTCTTCAATCGCAAATTTCTTTTTAACGTTTTAAAATTGAATCGGTATTTTTTTGTTTAAGTTCAACTTTTTTTGGACAAAATTTGTAACCAGTATTCAAAAGAAAAAAAACAACGAAGAGAAAGATTTATAGTCAAAACACCGAACTGTTCAAAACGACATTATCACAGCGACTGGTGAGCTCGAGACAATATCAATCGCGTTTCGAGACTGAATGCGAAAGAAAAATAACACTGTAGCTTCTTTCTACCACTCTTGGTGTACCGTTTATAGCATATCTACGGACAGCGGCGAATGAAGCATATGCAAGCGTTGTATGGACAATTTACATAGAAACGAAAGAGGCGCGAAGCAAAACTAGCATTTGCTTGATCAGTTCGAATGAGGTCCAAAACAAAAGCAAATATACACCGGAATAGGTTGATTTGTTTAGCCAGCCGATTACTATGATTTTGCACTGTTGCTGCCAACGACGGTGATGACGACGGCAAACAATATTATTATATCACTTGAAAAGGGCCTGGTTAATAACGCCTTTTAATCACAATGTTTGGATTTGTTTTGACAACACAACGGCAAATGCACACCACAACTCACGCAATCCATACAAATAAATGTGCAGTCAAATGCTCTCAGTTGAATCAGTTCAAAAGAGAATGCAGTTTTTTTAAATACTTCTGTTGCAATGTTTATCGAGCGCTCACAACTTGACTATTTTCAATGCGAAATAAATAAACACGAACGTAAGAAAGTTGAGAAGGTTTCAATTCACAGATCGGACACTTTAATTTGTTTGTCGTCTCACACGTTTTACCTGACTTATTTTAACTTCTTTGATGGGTTTCTTTTTTGAATTATCACCCAGTTTTATAAGACGTTCGATCATTTCACAATTTTTTTTTCTGCACGTTCAATTGATTGTTCAAATACTTGAAGGTTTTTCAAAAAAAAAAAAACAAGAAATATCATCTTTTCGTTCGGATTTATTTTCACTGATATTTTATAATACATTATTATTTTAGTTTTTTGGCATTGAATTTTTTATACAATGCGTTTCCAGAACGGTCAGCTTCTCTAAAAGTTTTTTCCATCTGTTTAATACCACCTATCATCGTTTGGTAGTCATCAAACTCAATCGGTTCAGTCCACTTTTAATGTCTACGTGATTGTGAACATTTTATTTTCTTTATTTCAAGTTTGTTCATGACTTTGTACTGATTTTATGCAATGAGTGAATGACCTTCTTTGCTGCACAAAACTGCATGATACCTTGGCTATTTATGTTATATCGCTTTTTGTTATCAATATGAAGCATGGGTCTGGTGTGAGAAAAGTTACATGTTATATATGAAAACCGGGTGTCGAAGCTCGGGTATTGTAAATATCGGATGAAGAGGTCAACAACATTTATTCAAATAATCTTACAAATCAATTCCAACATGTAGGAATGATTTTCTGCATTTGAATAAATTCGTCGCACGTCGCGTAGCATTCAGTGATTTCTTTTTAATCAACTCAGTTCAATTCTACAAAAATGTACCAGTTACCAAATAGACAGAAATACATATCGAAAGCGAAAAAAAGTGAATTTTATAAACTCTTCACGTCTTTTTTGTTTATGTTGCCATTCATTTACCGTGATCAGTGCATGCTCAGCTTTTCCTTTAATTTCCCACTGATTCATTGCAGCAGCATGGAATGCGAAAGAAAATGAAAACAAACAATAACCTCAATTATATTTACACTTCCTTTATTTGCTTGAAACCCGAGTGTAGCACATCTTGCGAATTCTGCAATTGTGGCGATTTCTTGTAATAATTGTTCGTGCCTTTTTTTCAAATATGAAATGTTTGACGTCATTTTTATTGTTTCTGTAAAACAATCAATACCGTAAGATTTGTTTATCGCATTCATTGATTGTTATGATGATGCATTTGTCGTATACATTTTTTTATTATTATTTTGAGTTTCTAATAATGATTTTGCAATAAATTGAAACAGTTCATTGTTAAGGTTATTAGAATGTCTTCTAATTTATTCAAATGTTTTAAAATTAATTTCATATAGTGTTTGAATGAATTAAAACACTTGTGATTTGGTGAAGATACTAACTTTCAATGAATTGACTTTTGAACTAATTACATTGGTTTTAAACTTTTTGCTAACGCGGAAGAAGAAAAGATGTATGATGTGTTCTAAGTTGTGTTGAAATATATTCGTAAAGTAAAAAAGTGCATCAGATTTGAAAAACTCCAACTGGTTTACTCTGAGGAGCAAAAATGTACCAGATATGTACAATTCAAATATGTAATTAGATTTGAAAAATGTAAACGGAGTCGGCAAATTGAAAAAGGCGGACATGTTTCTACTGCTAAACATTATACATATACATGCATATTATGTCTGCGCAAAAATATAGTCATTTTTGACCCTTTTATGTGAATTTCGCATAATGGGGTCCAAATTACTTGGAAAATATTTAGCTTGTAAGGTGCTCTAAAGGATGTTACGAATCATTTTAAGTTTGAATAAAATTATCTTTTATTATATTTTTTCTACCCAAAAAACTGCAAGAAGCTATTTCAATAGCAGTTTTTTGATACTTGAACAAATGTTTTCTTTATAAAATGTTTTTCTTATATCATTATCACTCGCTACTTAGTAGTTATGATATATAATTTTTCCAATTTGGCTTTTACTTAAATATTGGTCAAAAAATGTCTTCATTTGTTTTGAGTATTCAGTGTCTCCTATTTTCGCTTCAAGGAGCTTGAATTCGATACCAAATTCATCCATTAACTGCTTAAATAAAGCTACGTCGTTTATATAGACTATTTTGTTCTGAGTATCTTCGAAATAAGCATCGCCACCGAATCCAAATTTGACCGTTTTACCCATTAATTTTTCTAAGAAAAACATAAAAATTTGACATTTAAAATAAATTTATAATTTTTAAACAAAACTTATCGTAGAATTAATATTATGTTCGTGTTACCTGTAATATATCTTCCACATATTTTTTTGAATGAAGCGCCTCGCAATGTACCCGCAAGATAAATAGGGTAAATATTTGCCTTTTCAAGTTCTTGTCTATCCTCTTCATCTATTTTAAACACTTCTTTACCTCTCCTAATGAAGAAATTGAAATTTTCATGTTTTACTCATTTCTCGATGATAGTTGAGTTGATTATAATTTATCAATCAATAAAGTGAGAAAAACTATACTAAATTTGAATCTTACCCGGCATTGGATTGATGAGTTAGAAATACCTAATGATTAAAAAAAATGAATAAAAAAGACGAAAATTTCATATTAATTTTGATAATTATCAGACAATTGTAATTCTGAAAGCATTTGGGAAGTTTTGAGTGTTTTACTTTTCCGCACACACCTAGTGTGAAAGGGGAAAGTATTGCAATA